TTGAATACATTAGACATCTTATCGTTTTCATTTTCTTGAGCAAGCTCCCTGAGTATCCATTTTGGACCTGCCCCACGGCTGTTGTCTGACTAGCAACTCCTTTTACCCCCACTCTGGAGGTTCCCTCAGCTCTCTCTTCTAGTGTAGCTTTTGTTTTGGGGGTCCCAAGCCTCCTTGTTTCTGGATTTATTACCATATTTGGTGAAGTCCATTTCCCAACAGCTTTTAGGAAAGAAAGCATTGTAAGAAAATTTACTGATAATATTTGTGTCTGCAAATATCTTTATTCTTCCTCATACTTAATTGCTTCTTGGATGTAATCATCTCTTCTCAACGTTTTGAAGGCTTTCTCTACTGTTATCTAGCTTGCAATGTTGCTGTAAAGAGTTCTGATAATATTCTGACTTCGACCTTTACGTAAAACCTATTTTTTCTTCTCCGAAGGTTTTTGGATCTTCCTTTTTAATCTGTGACCTGAAATTTCACCATGATATTGTCTTAGTCTACCCAGGCCATTATAACAAAGTGCCATAGAATGGGTGCGTTATAAAAACAAACTGATTTTTCACAGTTCTGGAGGCTGAAAGTTCAAGATCAAGGTGCCAGTACCGATGAGTTCTGGTAAAGGCACTCTTCCAAGTGGCAGACTGCCAAATTCTCTTTGTGTCTTCATGTGGTTGAAGGCACTAGGGAGCTCTGTGGGGCCTCTCTTATAAGAACACTAATCCTATTCACAAAGGCTCCACCCTCATGACCTAAGTACTTCCCATAGACCTTAACTCCTATTACTATCACCTTGGGGGTTAGATATGAACTTATGAATTTGGGGGAGACATAAATATTCAGATCATAATTGAGAGTGTATTTTCATCTATAATATCTTTGAGTGTGACTGGGACCTGTAACTGACTTTTAGCAGTAGAATATGACAATGTTATGAGATGTCTCTCCCCTGATTACCTTGTATTATATACGTCTCTGTCTTAAAAGCAGACTGGAATAAGAGACTCTTCTTGCAGGCTTAATGACATAAGTGGCCATATTGGAAAGTCCCATGTGACAGGAAAGTATAGGTGGTCTCAAGGGTCTCAGGTAGCCTCTAACCAATAGTCATCAAAAATCAAATTTCTTATTCCCACAACTGTAAGGAAATGAACTCTACCAATGATCTGAATGAATTGGAAGTGGATTCTTTCCCAGTCGAGCTTCCAGATAAAAATGCATCCCAGCTAACACCTTGTGAGACCCTGAGCAAAGGACCCAGCTAACTGTACCTGGGCTCCTGACCCGTGGAAACTGTGAGATCACAAATGTGTGTTGTTTTAAGCCACTAAGTTTGTAGCATCTTTTTTATGCAGCAATAGAAACTATTTCAACTTCTCTCAATCTCTCTCTCTCTCGCTCGCTCTCTCTCTCATTATTTTCTTGTTTCCTAGTAGCAGTTTGGTAGGAAGTCAAGGTCAATATGTATATTATCAGACAAATATGGCATATGGTATGTGATCAAGCACATTTTTTTTGTCTCTCGTCATCCTTAAAATTTATTCAGTGTAAAAAGCTTTTCCTTCTCACCAGATCTATTCCAGCTACTACCCCAATATGTTCCGGTAATAGCAGCATTTTGGTCATTTTAAATAGCTAACATGCTCTTAGTTTGGTAATTAGGATGCCCAGTCTTATATAATAATAAAAACTACAAATAATGTAGCGTTAAATTTCTCTTCTCCCCCAACTGAGTCCTGCTTTGCCTTGGTTGTTCATAATAGTATATCTTCCTTTGTTGGTTGACAATTTTGCTCAGATTTTCTCACTCTCCTTCTACCGCACATTGGGTACTGAGATTTCTGATTGCCCTTTCCCCAAGTCCAAGAAAGGGAGTTTTGTCTTTTGAGATGAGGTCTCCTTCATATGATGTCAGGGCTCTCTGAGTAATAACTAGATAATAAAAGAGGGTACATTCAAGACTTCTTCAAAAATTCCCATATCTCTGACCTCTCCCACCTACAATTGCTTTAACCCATGCACATTCTTTTGCATTCAAGGTAGCCACTTGTAACTCCTTCTTCATTCCCTAATCTTGTTTCACCTAGAGCTTCTTGCTAAGATCTTCCATCACTTTGGATGGCCCTATTAGACAGTACCCAACACAGCCCCTTGTTGTCTCTTTACACTCTCTCTTGCTTGTCTCATCATGATCCATGGAAAACACACATATATGTTTGCCCTGATAAACTCTAAGCATGCAGGCTGGTCTCAACACTGAGCCCATTCAGAGTTCCAGAGCTGTGGCCTTAGTTCCACGCAAGCATCATGTATAGTCAGCCATGTACTTTAATTGTGGTGATCCGATGCAAGGCTAAGAAAATTTCACTCATTAGGTTTGAGGTCAGGGTACAAACATCCTTCTTTCTCTCACCTTTGGGGGTAGATGGAGTGAGGAGGCTCATAGAGCAGCTTTCTACAAGGAATTTCTCATAAAATTCCCTTTTGACTTGTGTATCTTTGTGGAATACAGAACCAACTTGTCCATGGTCATTTCTTTTGAACATTTCACTTTGGCATTTTATGTGTCCTGCTTCTTGGTGCCTTATGGAACCTTACATTTTAATTTGCTGTTTGCATGCTGCTTTAATCTGCCTCCATTAAGTAGAAGTTCCCTCTCCTCTCTTTATTTGAATATTATGAAGGCTGTTCATGCCAAGAGGCTAACAGATACTTTTAAGACTCTGTAACTCTCAAAAAAGCCTATTCAGAAACATATTTTATGTCCTACTTAAATATGTCTGCTGAACGTTCAGTGTTTCCATGAGACTGAATACAGTACACTGTCTTGAGTAGGACACATTGCAACAGAGAATGTGGCTTGATCACCATATGGTTGACACAAAATCCACATGCTCTACTGCCTTCCTCTTTCGGCGACTCCTATACGGGCATCATGGAAATGAATTCATATCTTGTCTCTCTTGTCAGTAGGAGATTGGTGAAAGTATATGAGGCAGACACAGTCCAACCTCTATGGGCTTATTCTTCGCTAAGTGCTGGCACTCACATCTGGCCTCTCTAGCCTGACAGACAGAACAGTTGACTATGAGCTTACCCAGATGAAGTGAGGCAGAGACCGGAGGAAAGCTACTCAGAACCACTCTGATGCTATGAGGACCAGAAGTTTTAAAAACATCTGGGATCATAACTCATGGCACAGGCCTTGGCATTTCCATGATGGATAGGCACAGGAGTGAAGATTCACCAATGTGATTCTGTAAGCAGCAATTATGGACGTGTGAGAGCCAGATTAAGAGAGGAAGGCCAAGGTGGGTGGACCCAGCCAGGGTTGCCACAAATGACTGTGCAGATCACAGCCTAAGACACTTTAAGTGGCACTTTTTAGGACGTCAAGGCTTCATGTAAAATAATGATGATGATGCCTGAGATCCCCTACAGACCAGACAGTCTAGGATTCTAATTACAATTAAATAAACAATGTCATTTTCTTCTAGTTTGATTTACATAGCCCTTTTCTTAAAGTAATTAACATCCATAACTACGATCCCAGCATGGCCATTTGCCATCCACATGCCCTGTTCACATCATTTAACCTCTCTTGCCTTAGTTTCTGAAGCTGTAACACAGGGATAATAATATTCCCCACCTCCCAAGCTTATTGTGGAGATGAAATGAGTTAATATGTACAGGGCACCTAGACTAATGCATGACACATAGTGAGAACTCTATAAATGTTGGTTCTTTTTCTTTGACTGCTTTCCATCATCATCACCACCACCACCACCACCACCACCACCACCACCACCACCACCATCATCATCGTCATCGTCATCGTCATCGTCATCAAAATTATCATTGAAAGAAACTCTTGCATTAAAAACTACTAATGCAAATTTCTAGGAGACTCTGGCAATAAGGAGGAACCAAAGGGCTTTGATTTCTGGGCACTGCAGTCAGGGCTGAAACTCAAGTGAGCCAAAAAGGGGATGGAAATATAGAAGTGAAATGTTGCTTCACTTGCTGTTCTGTATCCCATCCAAGAGTAGCACTGGTTATACATGTAAATAACTTCCAGAAAAGTCTATAATATTATTACTTAGAAAGAGAATGTTTTAGGGTATCTCCTTGGAAGTTGACGATCAAATTCTCCCTCAAGTTGCTGCTTACATAGAGAGAATTCTGAAAGGAATGAACCTCGTGTCTAATTTCAGAAGGCTTTCTTAGGGTTTCAGGTAATTTTCATGGCTGTTATGGGGCTCTAGAAAAGAACTAGGAATCAAAATCCTCAAAATCTTCAAAATCCTCAATATTCCCTAGATGGCTTCACAATCATTGGCAAGTCACTTCACCTCGCTAAGTCTTCGTTTCTTCCTCTCTGTACTAGGTCTGCCTACACACCTCACTTCTCTGGATTGGAGACAAAAGTGCCTTGTAAACTGAAAAATACTATATTAGATACGAAATTACATCATTGTACTTCCTGACTAATGGTTACCAAGCTATCTGAAATGGAAGTTTTCATTTCATTTCTGATTGATTTTCAAAGTTATATAATCGAATCTAAAAAGCAAAAATAAGCATAAGATACATCTGCAAAATTTGGGAGGAAAATGACTTTTCTCTAGGAAATTTACACCAATGACATTTTGATAAGAAGTAATCATGGTCCAGCAATTAATCTGAGGCAATTTCATGAAAGTGTCTTACTCCAATTCCAGATGATTGGAAATGCAACATGAATAATGCTATTTTATGAAAAATGAAATCAGTTTGTAGCAGTGAGAGGCTGTTATAACTGACATAATGTCCAACAAAACCTAGTCTTCTACATTTATGTAGTGATTCCTTTGAATCAAACCACATGAAAATAAATACATTTAGTTGAAGATAAAGAGGGCAGTAATGAAGGCGCTGACACCCCATTCTTTTATTCCAAGACTTTTAAATCAGAAAATTCCATCTACTATTGAGTTGATTTCTTCTCTGGCATTTAGCTCTAAATATCAAGTTGCTCCAAAATTTTTTCCTTGATTTTATGGTTCCCAGCCTTATTCAGTTGATAAAAACTGAGTTAGCATGATGTCATTTGAGGACTCTCCGGTATGAGAAAATGCATAAGTGCCTACGAGAAGAAAAAGAGGATAAGAGTTATTGCTCCTGATTGGAATCAAGCATAAGACCAAAATAAAAATAAAAATAAAAATTGCAAAATACAATTCCACA